GATTAACATCACTACTAATGAGTAGAATGTCATCTATTCACAGGATGTGAAAAGTGAATTTTCTATTCTTGAGCTTTGCATAAACGCTATTGGCTTTCTTATTTGTTTTAAAACCCAAACTTTCTCATCGTTTCATCAATTTCAAATACTACTGTTTAGAGACTTACTTTTAACCCATAAATGGATTTCTACATGCGGCATCCCTTATGTTCTTTTCTTCCACAACAAAACCTTTTGGGTTATGCCATGTAAACGTTTTCATATAAATCCCCGATGAGGAATGTCGTCTTTACATCAATCTGATGTATTTCTAAATCGTAATATATCATGAACACCATTATGATTCTAAAGAATCTTTGCACGAGATTGGAGAGAAAACTTTCATCGTCATCTTTTCATTCTCTTTGCATAAAGCATATTGCTACGTGCTTTATATCTTTCTACATTCCCTTTGAAGTCACATTTTGTCTTGTAGACCCATTAACGGCCAACTGTTTTGGCTCCATTAGAAATTACTTCTAAGTCCCAAACATCGTTGATATTTATCGAATTCATTTCAACTTTATATCTTTCTACATTCCCTTTGGAGTCATATTTTGTCTTGTAGACCAATTAACAGCCTACTGTTTTGGTTCCATTAGGAATTACTTTTAAGTCCCAAAAAATCGTTGGTATTCATCTAATTCATTTCAACTTCCATAGCTTCTTACCATTTAAACGAGTAAACGCTTCTCGTGACATCTTTAAATGAGGTGGAATCACCCTCCATTTAAATTTCTTTACTAACATAGACTTCATAGTCATTGAAAAAACTGGTTTTACTAATTCTTTGAGACCTTCTGGGGCCTCATCTACTGGCACTTTCATATGGGGCTGTTGTTGCTCTTCATTGCCAAGAGGCAATTAATTCTACATGCTCCTGTATTACAAGATCCTTGTTTACATTATTCATCTTTTTTGAAAAGCCAACAACAAGTGTTGTATAAGTCATACAACATCAATAGGTATTGAGAGATTCGTTGTTTTTGAATCACTGAAGTGGGCATGCAGTCCCGCATCTCTTCAAGTCTTAGGTCTCTATATACCTCTACATACCATGCTCCCCCAGAACTTCCTATCTTTTCTAAAGATAGTGTATCTTCAAATATCTTATTTTGGGTTTAATCCGTTAAAATCTCATATGGCGCTTTAAGCACCACCTTAACATCTTTAAAACTGACTACGCTATTTTCCTGTTGGAACTTTAAAAGGTCCAGGAATTTAGCTATTTCTTTGCTTAGGGGTATCATTATTGTAACCGTTATACTCCTCCAACGGTCTTTATCTCACTCTTAATGAAGAGTATATTTCTTAATTGATCTTTATCTCACTCTTAACGAAGAGTATTTTTCTTAATTGATCTTAATATTCTCCCCCTCGAAATATGGCATGAACTTTACTGCTATAATTTCGATAACTATTCAGAAAGCCTGTAAACGAGGAGACACTTATAACTTACTTTATTCGCATGATTGTGTCATGTAAACAAAGTTATTTCTTGATCCGTTTAGGAGTATACTTTCCTTAATTCACTTTAAGAACTCAACAAGGTCTTTCATTAGCAGTACTTTTGCAAGCCACGCTTGTATCTTTTCTTATCTTTTGGTTAGTATTGACCATGACAATGCATTTCTATTATGCCATGATCAATATTAGGATAGCATAAGAGCTACCCAAACTTCTCTCGCTATGCGGGATACATGAACATATAACTCATCACAAAACTTCTCCCGCCATGCAGGATAGACTAGCATAAGTACTATGCCAAACTTCTCCCCATGTAGGATAAATCTATATACAACATGCATACTTAATCCAACGTTGGTCAAATTAGACATGCATATTACTTATTGTATCTCTTATCATAAAAAACATTCACTTATACTTTATTTTCCAATTAAATCTTCCCGTTGATTCCAATTTAATCAGAAAATTAATAAACCAACAAAAAGGTTGTCCTAAACTGGCTTGACTCAAGCCTTTTCATTTACATACCCCAGCATTGCAGCTCGCTGGCATGTAGCCGAGTGATCTCATTGGTTAAATAAACAAGGTGCTTCTGCATTAATTCTACATCACCGTTGGACATAAAATAGAATTAATGCATAAAACTCATAAATCAACTTGAAATACATATAACTACTCTTCAAAATTAAATTCTCCCGTTGGTTCAAATTTAATTAGAAGATAATCAACTTCATTTCAGCGGAAACTTGATAATGAAATATATTCTTTTAGTTCAGGAACATTTCTCGGTCCTTATCTAATCTCTGAAAAATTGACCATGTTGGTGTAAAATTTATCAGAGATTTAAACCTCAAACTTGAACTCATTATAATATTGTCATCATCAACGTTGGTCAAAAAATGATAATACCATAATCTTACTTAAACAAAAACGGATTACTCCTGTAATTAAATTTTCCTGTTGGTTCCAATTTAATTAGAGGATCAAAATAATCATAATTTACTAAATATAACTGTTCTTCAAATTAAATTCTCCCGTTGGTTTGAATTTAATTAAAAGATAATAAACTTTAAACTTTGCAGCGGAAACATAAAAAATTCTTTATCTATTTTTCAGAAGCATTTTACTTTACCCATCTACTCTCTGAAAAAATTACCCCGTTGGTTCAAATTTTGACAGAGATTCAAAACTTGACAAAATTCATCAAAACTTCTCCTGAAAATAATAAAAACAGAAATTCTGCGTTCACTGTTCATTTGGCCCGGAGCAAAACCGGCCCAGCCTGCCTTGCGCGCGCGCGGCTCCCTCCTGGGCCGCAACCTAGGCCCGGGCCGGGAAAGCGGCTCGCCCGCTCGTGCCTATCTGGGCCAGCCTCCTGCCCGTGGCCTCTACGCCGTTGATACAGATCGGATAGCCACGCGCGCGTCTCGGCAGATCAAAACCGCGCCGCGGCCGCTCCCGTGAAACCGTAGGTTCATTCGTCACCCTCCTCTCCTCTCTCTTCGCCGCAGATGGCTCTCTCTCCCTATGTCGTGTCGGCTCTCTCTCCCTTCTCACCCAAAAAAATGGCGGTCGGAGATGGCGGCGCCGCCGTCGGTCCCCTCACCGGTGCGCGCGCCCACCGTAGGGTGAGCGCGCCGCCGTCGAGCGGTCCAGTGGTGTTGCCCTTGACCCCGCGTGGCTCAACACCGAGCGAGTGAGCGCAGAGAGCCACCAGAGCGAGCCCACGGCGGAGGGATGGTGGCGCCGTCGCTGCCCCCCTCGCCGACGCGCACGCTCCCTAGCGGGTGAGCGCGCCACCGTCGAGCGGCCTAGCCTCAGCGCCCTAGCACGGCTGTGGTGCAGAGGTGCGGAGGTCCTTCCCGGAGTGTAACGGTGAGTGGAGGCCGGTGAGGTAAGTCGCCTCCCTAGCCTTTCCCCATTCCCCTTCTTCTCTTTGATTGGATCTTGCTCTATTCTTCTCGGATCTTGTCCGATTGGGGTTTAGGGTTAGGGTTTGAATATCGTTCTTCTTCCCCGAGCTGTCTATGCGGGTTAGGGTTAGGGTTAGGGTTCGAGTGGCGTTCGAAAACCGAGACTCCCTTCTTACTCCTTTTCTTCACCCGATTAGGGTTTAGGGTTCAATGAACCCTCTGCGTTCTTAGATCCGAATCGGATCTCTCTCATCTACTTCTAAATTGATACTTTCCCTATCTAGATCTACACACTAGAAAACCTAGCTCTGGTACCAATGTTAGATCAGAGGACCTCTAAAATCATAGATCATGGGATAAACTTGACTTAGATGGGGAAACTTGTTGATGTACCTCGCCAAGGTGCGGTCACGGCCACGGCGCCACCACGACATGGCCACTAGAGTCGTAGTAGTAGAGGAAGGAGAGACGCGCCCTCTAGGTCGTCGTAGGTAGCAGTGCGGGCGCGGTGCTGATGGCGGCGGCGAAGGCGATGGTGACGCTTCTAGTCGCTGGCAGCACCCTCTCTTTAGATCGGTTAGGGTTAGGATATCGGTGGGGTGTTTGGCGGCTCAGGAGAACCTCGTACCTTGTGCCTCGGCCCCCACCTCCCTTTTATGGTGCTGTGCGACGGGGCCCACCAACCAGAGAGTGGTTGGGCGCCCCCGATCAGGGCGTGGATCCAAGGGCCGTTGGTCAATTGGTGGAGATCAAACTAACACATACACCTCATCGGAAACAAAATACAATTGCTCATGCACCTTTCTTTATTTGCATTTTGTCGTCCACCTATCACCACCGAAGTCTGGCTAAATATCTTGCCCAGGTCAGAATGGGTAACTTGCTGACACGATTGATGATACGGAGAACAAAAACAAGAGTAATATTTTAACTGTGTCAAGAGAGGCAGAAGAAACCTATACCATGCTATATTTGACTAGCATTGGGAGGTCCTTATAGGTTTTCCTCTTTGGATTAAACTATAAGCAGGGAGCCACCCTACTCCAAGCCAATAATAGTTGCACACAGTCATAAGATATGGGCAAGTTCAGAAAAACTGATGGTCAGTGATAGCTCCAAGTATACCTCCTTACAGCTCAGTCTACAGCTTAGAACCTAGGCCTTGTTTAGTTGGCGATTTTTTTTTGGAAATGGTACTGTAACACTTTCGTTGTTATTTAGCAATTAGTGTCCAATTATAGTCTAATTAGACTTAAAAGATTCGTCTCGTGAATTTCGTCTAAACTGTGTAATTAGTTTTATTTTCTATTTATATTTAATGCTTCATGCATACGTCCAAAGATTTGATGTGACGGAAAATCTTAAAAAAAATTACAAAATTTTGAGAACTAAACAGCACCCTAGTTCTCTTCCACATGGCCAAGTGAAATCACACGCCTCCTCTCAGGTTCTCACCCTATAAATATGCACCCCCTGTCACTGCACCCCTGCACCACACACCACAAGCCTAATACAGCTCAACACTAGCTAAAACTAGAGAGAAGAGAGGCGCGCGCGCACAGAGAGAGAGAGAGAGAGTCCATGGTGACACTAGGAAAAAGAACCAAAATTAGCAAAGGGATGGTGTCACTAAGGAGAAGGCGGCCGTTCCAGCTCATGGTGCTGAGGCGGCTCCGGGAGCTCAAGAAGATTGTGCCGGTGGGTGCTCGCCGCAAGGCTGACGTAGATGTGGTTCTCCGGCAAACTGCTGAGTACATCTGCGCGCTAGAGCTGAAGGTGGCCATCCTCCGGAGGCTCTCTGACATCTACGGTGTGTAGCAAGCTCTGATACAATCAATCGATCGTTTGCATGCCAGTCACCATTGCACATGTAAGAGGGGAGAGAGAACCTAGCTGCATTTCTTGCCATGGGCATCTCTGTTCAACTCCTCCCTACCACCCACCAAAGTAGTAGCATAATTGTGCCTCCCCTATTCGATTGGTTGGTCACATATGGAAGTGTGTCTAGTAGTTAAATCTGGCTGGAAAAGCCAGCCCGTTGCTCCAGCTGATTGCAAGAGAAATGCTTTCACTGGTGGTTGTCAATAGGCTGGAAGTAAGAGCTCGGCATGCATGGTTCGAGTATTTCATTTGTTTGTATGTGTCGGTGTGTACTATGGATTTTTGCCTAGCTCTTCAGCTCCTTGCCCCCTGTTATTGGCATGACCTATAAGACTATATGCAAAGACACATGGAACCACATTCATCTAGCAAATAACTAGTTAACTACCAAAAAACATTGTGTGATGATCCCTACAGATACAGGATCATTTGGATGGGAACATCTGTCGTATTATGAATAATAGTCACTACTGAATACTGATTGAACTACTCATTAGAACGACGTGTACTTGTGTGTACCTACCAATCAGACACTTGAACCTCTCCACAACAAATAAAGACAATGGCAAAAATATTTGAGGAACAATCCTCCTTTCAGTCCATGTACTAATTAATCAATCAGTTGATCAAGTCAGGATTAAAGTAGGATACTCATACTGCAGGACCTTGTTCAGATTGTGAGGCAAGCACAAGTAGCACAAGACATTCACTTGCCTGGCCGGACCATATCATGCGAGTGAAGATTCTCAAACTTTGCTGCATTAGAAGGTCGCCCTGTGGATAAGAACATAAGATGAAATATACTATTTTAAATGCTGAATTATTATAGTTTCAAATGGGGTGTCGCTACTGAAAGGGAAGCTCTTTCTGTCAAGTCCATTTCTTCAGGTAGATAGACAGACAGACGGTTGATATTGTGGGATTTGATCCTTTTTACCCAAGGAGAATATATGCTAACACGTCACATCAACTGGTGATCTACAATCATCCTACTTGCACTCTGTTCGTTTGGGCTTGTTTGACTTATAAGTTATACTTTTTCAGCCATCGAACAGCATTTTTCTCTCACACCAAATCAGCCACAAACAAGCACAAAGGATCGTGGCGTTGAAAAGTATGCTATGATGAGGATAGAGCACATAGTACGTGCGGGGATTTAATTCATGTGTAAATGTACTGCTGACCAGATAGATGGCAGCTAGCATACCAGAGGAAGCGTCCAAGAAGGGCATGTGCATGCAAGACTGCTCTCTGGCCTTTTGCTCCACATCATTAGGGAGTGCTGTCCCCTTCTCTGTTCTCTCTCGCCACCCTATCGCCGATTTATCCTTTTGGGTGAAAACAATCCTACAAAAACAAGCCAAAGTTTACCAAACAGGGAGATGCATACGTATTAACATGCCAATTAGCAATGAATTGAAAGGCTTCTGGTCTGTTTTACACTATCATGTTCAGGCTTAAGCAATGTTAGATGCATGCAGAAGGAACATGCAGAAACTCCATAGTGAGATCAATCTTCCTTTTCTAGTAGGCACATTGATTCTTAAACGACCTGAACATAATGCTACCTTTCAACTTCAGGCAGCAGAGATACGCAGCCCTCAGAACGGTGACCATTAATTTGAATCTAGCAGTTGTCTCTCGGTGGGTGACATTAAATTCAACCGTGAGAGTTAACAGTAGTACACTCTACTGAGCCCAGGCTTCCTGTCGGAACACTGTCACACTGGAGAAAAACACTGCAACAGCGCGTGCTAAGCTGAGGGTGACAGTAAGACTCTGTATTTTACAGCACAGCCATGTGGGATATTCGCCTTGGGATTATTGTTCACAGCCAGGCCAGCTATGGGCTACTGCCATGGCATTTCAGCTACAGTCTGCAGGCTGCCAACATACTTGGTGGTTTCCCAGGCGTGGCACTAGTTTTTTTTTTTTTTTTTGAATGCGCGTGGCACTAGATTAGATGTCAGGTTAGGTGTTATGTGGATATTAGGATTTTAGTACTCTCACACCTTGATCCACCTGTATTGTACAGCATCAGCAGGTTAGGACCTTGACTCCACAATTTAAAACCATCGGAAAGTAGAGTCTGTGGCTGCAAATCAACTCTGCTCCAGACTAACGAATTTATTAGCAAGAATGCATGGGGGCATCAAGCCGTGCAGCTGCCTAAAGATGCAGCCAAGCTGAACTAAAGCATGGACGACAATCACTTGGCCCCGTTCGGCTGGTAGAATTTTGGCTGAAATTGGCTGAAAACACTGTTATGACTGAATTATTGTGAGAGAAAAACACTATTCCGACTGAAAAAAGAAGCCAAACAAGCTGAATATGGGGTCGAAAATTAAAAGTATCTCAGAAAGTATTGAGGTAATCAGGGATCAACGCACAGCCTAGTGCACGTACAATGATATGGCCATCATAATATAGTGGCATCAAAGACGCCTTTACCTTAATGATGATACAGCTCCAAGGGGTTGCGTGGCTTTATTGCAGCACCTGGAGCCCATCCATGTGTGAGCATGTGTCTCTGCGATGCTATGATTTGGGGGTTCAGATTCTCCATTTCACATCCAACGGCTGATAGAAGATGTAACTTTTTCACCCCAAGCAGCAAAGCCAGCCGTGGTTTTAGCTCAAATATAGCCCAACTCGAGATTATTATATATGAAACAGAGAAATAACAGATAGTTTTACTAAGTATTTTCATAGAAAATTTAAATGCAATGCATCAGGTATAAACCATCTAACATGTGTAAACTTAGAAACTACAAATCAGGACTACTAGATACTGATCCAATGAATAAGGTGAGAGGTGGAATTTTTTTACGCTTAAGCCCCCACCCGTCCTTTTTTTTTTTTTGCACTTAAGCCCCCTCACCCCATCTATTAGATCAGCATCCAGTGGTCCTGATTGGTAGTTTTTAAGTTTGCACGGGTTAGTTGGTTTGCACATGATATGTTACCAAAATTAAACGGGCATTTTACTAAGTATTTTTTAATGAGCAATACTATGGTAACCTCTTTACTTACTAGGAGGTAGTACCTCAAATAAATCTAATCTCTTGATTTTTTTATAGTTTTTTGAATTAATTATTAATTAATCTATGAAAAGAAAAAGAGATATAGTCAAATCCTCCTAATCAGCACCTTCCTCGCCGCACCTTTTCTTGTGCTCGCCTTTTTCCTTTTTCCGTTCTGTGACTGTGCATAAATATTTTATCCTACTAAAGTAACTGATAAAGCATACAGTATATCTTGAATGCAAATTCAAATAATCTTTTTTTAATTCACATACTCAGTTAAAAAATATGTTATATACATAAAAAAATATCAACATCTAATTAACACGTTAACTGAATCATGAACGTTGACGATGTAAAACATATTACACGCTAACATGAACGTGAATGTCGACGATCTAAAATATACATGTTACTAACACGTTACATAATTGAGTATGTACGTTAGCTGACTCGATTAAAATATGTTACATAATTGAGATGCTCTTCTAATAAAATACAAGCTGTCATATATATTGAACACGTAAAATGGCCATGTAAAATATCATGTACACACCTAAAGTTTTTTTCTCTATGTCAGGTTTTGGACACGTACGTAAGTTCAGAAATTTATAAGACAAACTTGTAGTGGAGGTGGAGCATAGCATCTAGTTTCGGGTTTTCAATGAAATGATTAAAAAGTCCTTTATTTCCGTTAAAAAAATTCCATCAAAAAAAATTCCACGCATGGGGGAGGGCAGCCAACCGCGTGCGGCCATATTAGGCCAGAATCACCGGTGTTGGGCTTTGCTATTGTGGTGGAAAAGTTACTTTCTTCTTTTAGCCGTTGGATGTGGAATGGAGGGCATCAGGCATGGCATAAGTCACCGGTGACTTTCCTACAGCAAGTCAAAGAATCTGAACCCATGATTTGGACTATCCACCATAGGCAAGTCGCAGCCCATGTAGCATGTGCTTGGCATTAGCTCGTAACGAGACAGCCATGCACAATGAAAAGATGCTAGATTAGGGTGACTTAAACAATGGTGGATTAGGCATATATATATAAGAGCCAGGGATGGCAAGGCTGTAGTCCACTGAACCAGAGACAACAAAAATCAGTAACACATAGATTACCAAAATAATAGTAATACACATGTTACAACATCAACATATTAAACAGGACAAGGCTGGAACTAGGACACTACATGAGTTATCTTTGTGAAAAGTAGAATGGCACATGCAATACACTAATGCAAGGTCAAATAAAAAAAATGGCACGCTAAATGACTAGGAAGCATTACCTGGAGCACTGATCGGAATAAGCGCAGCGCAGAATAGCAGTCAGGGTACAAGGTCGAATTTTTCTGCATGACTCTTGGACAAACAAAATTCATGCTAAGAAAACCAACAAATATTACTTAATCCAGAATGTATGTAACTTGAGGTGGCCTGGACAAGCATGAAGTCGTGACCGCTTCAATAAACGCATCATGAGGTTCCGTGATGCAAAATCAAGTTGCAACCACCAGAGATGCATGAAGACAACAAGTCTCCATACCATGGATCTGTCTAATGTTGTTTAGTAGACTTTTAAGAACCTAGGACAAATGATGTCCCCTCAAAGCAATAGACAATCATCAAACAATAGATATGATGCATGGTGCATATGGTCTGATAAGATGCAAAGAATGGCCCTCAAGAGATAGAAGGAAAAAAAATTGAAGATGGCGTGTATGACTTCCCCATGTTTCATTTCCTTTGAAGACGAAAAAGAGGAAAAAAATGATGGAACTTATTTTATAGACTAAGGGTGATGTGGGTCTTCAGTGCATCTCCTTCACATGCAGAAGGGCAGGGATTGCATTTGCAGAAGCAACTTTATAATGCAATTTTATCATACAGACAGAATCTAGCAGAAATTATCAAGGAACTCCTCTATAGGAGTTTATGTTCTAACTTCTAAGAATTAATTAAGACATACATTGAGCATTTAACTATGGTCGAGTAGAACACATCTGGAACCATCAACGTATATATCCAGCATCAGCACTTTCCTTCACATGATCAGCATCTTTTACCACAACCACAAAAGGGCAGGCCTTCCGGAAGAAAGCAAAGACTATACCCGAGTCTTAAGCCGTTAGACCAACCAGTCCTTAGCTAATACTTCCATTTCGGCGCAATCAGATCAAGTATCTCCATTGATTCTCTCACTGAACTTCTAATGTGGGTGCCACTGCACAGAAAAGGTACACTCATAAAACTCCACAGCAAAGGTGAACATAACATGATTCGAGATAACAAATTTGAAAGCTCTACCTCTCACTCTCTCAGCAAACCAGAAACCTACAAAAATCAGACGCTCAAATTCAAAACACAGACACAGCACTGGAACTAGTTCCTCACCATAAAAACCTCATTTTCTGTGCACAGACAACCCTTTTTTTCGAAGAACCTTCGAAAAAGGCAGGGAGCTCCTGCAGTTCACTTAAGAAGAAAGAATTGACCTGGTTTATATGGTGAACTGGGCCTAAAAACCATACAACTGCACTGTTAATTTGAGGAAAACCCACCAAAAAAAAGCACAAACAACCTTTTGATCAGATTTAACATAAGCAAATTAAGTTTTGTTTGCAGCTGAGCCAAATCCAGTTGGAAGTCCATGCAGATGTGGGTCTCTAAGCCATGTGCACACATGTGGCTGGTCCTGTGCTTCTGTTCCAACTAATTCAGATAAGCCACCTTCCTTCCTTCCGTATGGATTTCTCATGCAGTTCCGGACCACTGATTAAATATCATTTATCCCCACATTTAGCACCACAAAAATCTCATGCATGGCCATGGAGATGTACTTCTCTGATAAGGCCCGACATAAGAAGTGGTCATATTCAACCATGCTTAAATCAGATGAGATCTCATGATTGTCCACGCTTGCCCGTGCCCCCACGAGCTCATCATTCCACACAACTAACCTTATTAAACCCAAACAAAAGTTACATCAAAGAGCAATAATGAAAGTGGCCCAAGAGCTTTTCTATTCTATGCTATCAACAGCCACTAGAAAGATGTTTCAAGATCATCGAAGGATACTTTAGTGGACAGAAAGGGAAGGGACTAAAACAAGAACAACATGACAGATTAACATCTGCAATCCAAGACTCAGAGAAAAGGGATTTATTGTATTCATGTTTTCCAAAATGCTCATCTCTATGCCAGTTTGATTCACATTAGAAAAGGAAGACAAACAAATCAAGTATGATGGGATGGACAGCACAATAATAAACACCAACTGTAACAAACTAACAACATCACAATTCAGCAGCGGAGAAACAAAGGAGAATCAACAAGCTACACCGAATGGCAACAGGATATCAGTTTGGGGAGCGCTCAATCCCTCCTAATCGAACCCTTAAGAAAAATAGACAGGATAGACTGGGAATATGAGAAGTTTGGATGCATTAGTGTACATATACCACAAGATAAAGCTACTTAACTAAACAATCCATATTAACATGTTGAGCTATCACATGAGAACTCCAGAAGAAGGTAGATTGCTACGCCACAGTAGCTAGTCATTAACATAACAGAGCATAGAAACAACTATTGTAGCTCTTAAAGGTCATGCTAGAAGCACACAGCTCCGAACAGCTCCAAGAACATGTCCACAAATACTTCTAGTAGGCAGTGAATGTAGCTTGCAAAGAGGCTCTGTATTTTTGCACCAGTGTGACTTCTTTCTCTGCACAATTTGAATGGAAACACACAGTAATGTCAACACTTTACATAATTAAGAAAAATTGACTTATGTGCACATAAAGACAAACTCCTGTAAGCTACAGATCCAATATGTAGGCAATGTCTATTATTACGTTCAAGGCTTTGAAGAGTGCATAACTTATGCTGCCTTACTAAACATGCCACACTGATCCGTTGAACTTGGGATTGGTTCCAACTCGCCAAGATACATTTGTTTTACGCAACTATGACCATAAAAAACAAATTGATTTCTGAATTGTACTCTTTTAACAATCTTGTCCTCAACCAAGAGGCACTCCATGAACGCAATCATGGGTATGTACACCTAGATGGCCTCGTTCTGGAAATGCAGCAGATGTATCCCCCCTTGCACATTTGTGTGTACAGAGGCATATCCACATCAGTAATTTCGTTTTTCATAAGACAATTCCAATCAGCATTAATCGAGTAGAAAAAGAGAGAGTTCAGGACATCAACTAAAACTTCAATAGTTTACATCTTCCCTAACCATTGCTGTTTGGTTTTGCATCTGCATCTTAAACTACTTCTGTAACTATGTTCGAGCACTACCACGTATGACGTACCACATACTTTCTAACATAAAGGCTGCCTAAATGACCAGTGGTTGAAATTCTCACAGGTCAATAAGGGTTATGGCCCCCCAGAACTTGTGTAAACTCCATTAGTTTCCGTCACTTGGATTAGTAACCATCAAATGTTTTTGTTAACGACCATGCCTAAGTACATATTCATTAAGAGGAGGAGAGTTTACTAATTACAGGAAAGCAAGCCACGGCTTGTCAAGCCCAGCAAGCTTACAGAAAAAAAGTTGTTATACGTGACACTAATTGGCGACCGTGAACAGCTAGAGGTGACCACGAAACACCCCTGTCAACGTGCAGCAACGGAAATTTCCGCCAGTGACGCTAGACTTCTGTATCCTGCTGCAATCCACAATGCTCAGCCACCTCAATGATGACCTCAAACTTAGCCACTGGCGCACAAGACTTTCTCTGGAAGACACGATTGTTGCGTTTCAAAAGGTTAGCCTTGTTGCCTTATTCTTTGCTGCTTTGCCCTAATTGGGTTTAGGACCAAGCTTCGTCACTGCAAATGACACCTTCCACAAATCATGCTGCTCCCCAAAGCAGACTCTTAATCATTACCCTTCCCGCAATGCGAAGTCTAGGCAAATTGGCTGAATCACACCCCAGGATTGTCAGAGTTTTTAACATGGGCTTGCACAGTGAAGTTAAATTAACCAGGGATTATAGCAACTGCAATTTGCGCAGTACTAATTACAGCTGAAGGGAAATTGAGCGCACGGAGAATTGAGGGCTTAACCTACCAGGAGCGGAAATAGGAGGCGCCGCGGATGGCGCCACCGCGGCCGCCGGAGGCGGCGGTGGGTGCACAGGCGGAGCGGAGACCAGAGGCGCGTACATGTACGAGTCGGACGCGAGGTATGCAGCGATCACCTTCGCGAGCCCCCCGGCGCTGCCGGCCTTAGCGGGCGACACCACCTTGCGCCTCCGCTTTGCCGCCGCCGCAGGCAGCTTCTTCCGGACGCCGAGCAGATCCTTCTTTTCCATCGGGTCCTCGGTCGGTCCTCCACCTTGGGGTTTCGTCTCTCAGAGGTTTTGGGGGTTTGATGCTTCTGCTGATCGGGTCGGTCAGTCGTCGTGACTCGTGACAGAGCTTCTCGAAGCGGAGAAGGAAGAGGTGGCGGCGAAGGAGGTCGACGTGGCGCGTTTCGGATACTTTCTAGCAGCTGCGCGGCGACGCGTCACGCGTGGTGGCCGTTGGCGGAAGGCGAAGTGAAAGAGGGAGCGAGGGGCCCGGTCTGCGACTCCGACTCTTGCGTTTATCCCACCGCGCGGCAAGTGTGGTTAGCTCTCAATCAAACAATATCAGGATTTTTTTTTTGCATTTATCCCCCGTTCCCCCGCGTGCGCCTTTATCCCTGCAGCGACGACTGGGGGGCGACTGCCGCCGCCCGATTCCAGGTGCTCAGGTCTCCCTCGGACGAGCACCACAAGGTCCGCCCGCCACCCCTTCTCTTTCCTTGCTGTTGTGCGAAACCGAGCATCGAAACCCTAATTTAAGCTATTTGTGTTCTGATATGATCTAATTACAATTGTATACATGCATTATGTCTACTAATAACTTCGGTTTTTGTTTTTAAAAATTATTCGGGTGTCCTTTACTGGATCCGCCCCTGTATTCCTGCTGCTTTGTTTTATGCCTACTGGAGCACTAATTTCCCTTCTGTTTTGGGCAGAGGATGATGCTTCTCGCCAAGCTCGGGGCGCCGAGCGTTCCAGGTCAGTCGTGCTGTTAACCTTGTAATATTGCTGTTATTTTTCTTTTCGAGACACTGCTCGTATCCCTACCATTAGGTTCCGGCAATTGGAACACGTTAATTTCCTGTCCTGTACCTCTTTGCTACTACACTTAAGATTTTTTTAGTCCTTGTTAAGATTTTTTTTTTTTTTTGAGACGATTGCCTCTTGTAATCTAATTGGTAACACCTCCACTTAAGGATTTTTGCAATGCGGCTTCAGTTACCAACTTAACTGAGTGACAATAGATATTTGACTTGGGAGCGCCATTCATAACAGTGATCATCCATGAAAGTTGATGTTCAACCAGTTGTTACGATGTATCAGAGGAATGTGGTTTCTGTAAATGTTTAGAAGATAGAATTCTCATGGAGAATCATTCAATATGTTGTTTAACAATCTGTATTGGGGTGGGGGTGCTATGCATATGAGCTAGATGAACACAAGTAACTGGAAAACATCTCTTGCAAACAAAACTTTGTGGATGAGTGCAAATTCAGCTGCTATGCAAAGATGATATCCAACAGTTTCATTTGGCCATGCACCCAGTGGCGGATGCAGGATGGGAACAAAGGGGGGTAATGGTGATTTGAGGCTAAGTAACCATGGTCTAATGAAGAAATCAGGCTCATTGGGGGGGGTGTAGCCCCGGCAGCCTCCCCCTTTGGATCCGCCCCTGCATGCACCCAAATCAAGACTCAAGTTAGCGGGCTAGTTGTCTTGTTATTTTTTATTCTTAGAGTTGAGTTTTCAGTCAGCTAGTAAGCTGAGGGTCTCTTGCCAAGCCCCTTTTTCCTTTTCTTCTTCTGGTTTTTTTTAGAGTTGTGTTTGTAAGCTGTGTTCTAGGGACTTGGCATACCCTTCTGTTCTCTGTTTTTGTTTTTCTATTATCTAATAAAACTTGTGGCAAATCTCTTGCCGTTCCTTCTAAAAGAAAAGGCAAACTAAATGCTATTCTTATTCTTGGATTATACTGAGATCATCGTGAACTACTTGCGTACAGGTTGTGTGACGGACAGAAGGAAATTGCTGTTGGTCCCTACGATTAGTATGGCTATTGGCTCCTTTCAGTACACTTTTGACAAGGGAACAGCAAAAGCTGAATTTGCTGATAGTGAGTCTTTTGTAGCTTCTTCTAATATAGATTTGTTCTCTTCAATTGGTTCGCATATACTTGAACCATTTAGGCTGTCGTCTGTGTGCACCTTAAGTTCTGAACTTTCTCATTGACATAAAGATGAATTTTGCACGTCAACAATTAATATGTTCACACTTCATCAAAGAACTGTGTGCTGAAACCTCTTAGTGGAGCATATTTGCTATAGATTTCTAAGTAATGATGTGTTGTGCTTGTCCTGTGGTCTTCTGGTCAAGTTCGCTAAAAAGGATGCTCAATGTAATTTGCCTATTATCCTATCTTTGTTGGAATGCAGAGAAAGCCATGTAGTCTGCTAATAATCACAGTGTGGAAGAGAACCTTATGATAGTCTAAGATAAAGTGATAAACTAACCATGAATCAGTAATACCTTTTTTTATGGCATTTCTCATGGACATGATCCAGTTAGTATCTGTTGAGAAATTTTGTGTTTGTAACACATATGGCTAAGCATACTCCTAAGCATTTATGCCTCACCTTTACGGCCATTACTTTACATCTGTATCTAGCAAGCCTCTAGCTATATGTAAAGGGGACCTGCTTGCCGGTGCTGGTGCCATGGCTATAGGCCTTTGGAAGTTTTGACTCCGTCCTATGAGGGTTTGACTGGTTCTGTGACTTAATTGGATTCCAAGCTTACTCATAGTGGACCTGGAAGTTAAATGTCTTGAACTTCTTTTTTGGTTATATATACTCACTTTTGGCCCTTGGGCATCTCCTCAAATTGCTATCGTTATCCCAGAAACATGGAACTCGTTCGGCACACTTCCGGCTTTGCAGGGATCTCCTGGGACTTCTTCCCTTTTACCTCAAATGTCTTTTGGCCAGTTCCTGAAAAATGCGCACGCACATGTTTCCAAAAAAAACATTGTCAGTTGTCAGACTCCCGAGCTGCAAGGATGTGGGTACATGTAAACTGTCTTGCAACAGTATCCTTGTATGTCAAAAACATGTTCTAGCTTGAGACAGAATGAGGTGATATACCGTATATATAGCCAATTTTCTAAGCACTACCAATTGAAGCTTGTTCATATAACCATCTATTGTTCAAGTCAGAAAGCAAATAAGCAATCTAAAGAATTGGTATGCCCTAAAGAATTCAGATCTTACCCAATCATTGAAATTTCAGTGCCTGCACTTCGTGGAAAAGATTATGGAAAGACAAAAATGCGGTATCCAGATTACACTGAAACGGAATCAGGCCTCCAGTACAAGGTGCCTTTGTCACCATCCATTGGTTTCTAGTTTTCTGCATGATGGTCAAATGACCAAACGTTGCATGATTATTTTCATGGCAAAATACAGGACTTGCGGGCTGGTGATGGCCCTTCTCCAAAAACGGGGGAGACTGTTGTTGTGAGTTACAACCATTACATATGAATGTAAATGTAGCTTATTTTGTATTTGTACATGTACATGCATCCTTCTCTATTATCTTTGTTGTTATTTGCAACGTTTTGCCAAGTGTCAACCCTGATGAGGGTTTGAATTTCTTTACTCTTCAAGGTTGATTGGGATGGCTATACAATTGGGTACTATGGTCGTATCTTTGAAGCTCGAAACAAGACCAAAGGAGGTTCGTTTGAGGTATCAGTTGCCACTGTACTTGACTGAAGGAAGAGTATTTAGCATTCATACAAGTTTGAACAATCATGTGATTTACTGAACTAACTAGGATTGTCAGAAGAAGTGTGTTATAGATATTTGTTTTAATATGAATGGACATGATTTTTTGCATTGGAGCACATCACATGCACCCTTCTATTAATCAGTCATAGTGCTCAAGGATGTGTGTCACACTATGTCTTGATTCTAATTATTTTTCTGATGGTGCTTGCATGCATTTGAATCACTGTGAAGTGTGAATAAATAAATAGTGTAGGCACACATATCAATGCGCTGTGAATAAATAGTGTAGGGCAACGGGTGCATGCATGCACATATTCTTTTCCTCTGAATTATATCTTCTAATTGACTGATGTATCATTCTGAAATTATAAATTGCAGGGTGGTGACAAAGACTTCTTCAAGTTCAAGGTTGGATCAGGACAGGTGATTTTTCTAGTTTATGAAGTACTGATCTCCTTGAGTCCTTGTTAGTCTCCTATTGTCCAGTGCTTTGCCATGTCCATACACCATGCTTTGGGACTCCTTTTTGACAATATGGGCAAAAGAAAAAACATTTTGCATGACAATTAACAAACAGACAGTTGGCGTTTTTGCAGCTTCCTGAGCTCCGTCAGAAACGTTACATCTGGGTATCTTTCTCACAAATAGCAGTATCGATAATGTAGGTCATACCAGCTTTTGAGGAGGCTATATCAGGCATGGCTCCAGGAGGTGTTAGGAGGTGAAGTATCTTCTAATTTTTCCAAGACAAAGCTCTGTAAATAAGTTCCTCTTTACTATCGCAAATTGCAAATGTACTATTGAAGAGCTCATATACTTCAGGATCATTGTACCACCTGATCTTGGATACCCAGATAATGACTACAACAAGTTGGGTCCGAAACCAACGACATTCTCGGTAAACATGTACAGATTTTTTCAGGTTATCCTTGTCAGTTGTTAATGACTAAACCACGTCGAGCATTTATCATTTGTCTTCCAGGGACAAAGAGCTCTTGATTTTGTTCTACGTAATCAAGGCTTAATAGATAAAACTCTCCTGTTTGACATCGAGCTTCTCAAGATAATTCCGAATCAATAGTGTGTGAGGTTCCTTTCTCACTCTTCCTTGCTTACTTAGAACATGGTTCTATCTGCACTAATTACTTTGTTTTGTTTCTAGTTCAGTAACGTCACCGAAAGTTACATTTTGCAGGAGATTCTTACAATTACCTTTGAGGAAAGAAGCTCATGTTATCCAGATCCATCGAAGATCAGCAGGAATGTATGCAATTGATGAATATAAAAAAGAAATTTTTTAGGCATACACGCTTGTACAACATGATGTGAACATATCTACCTACATCTCCATTAACTGCGCCTCTTTTAAAACATGCCATTGTGCACATCTTCAGTTTGTACAGAAGCTGTATTAGATACGTCTGTGATCACTACCTCGACTTTTGAGCAAATACAGAATGACCAAATGAATTGCTGAAATGAAGGCATTCAAGTTGGAAATGCTGTAAATACTCCAAAATCTTGCCTGTCTGTCATAGTAATAATTCATTTGGTACCAATCATTGCCAAACACTTAGTAATGTTGCCGCCGACCCTCGCAGCAACAGCAGGAAGCAGCCGCTGCCGCAGCTCGCCGCCGCACGCACTCCCGCCGCCCCTAGCCGGTCTTGCTCCCGCCGCTCGCCGGTCACAGCAGCAACAGCAGCCGGCGCCGCCGCCAGCACTCCACGTGAGCTCGGAGGAACGACAGAGGTTATTGCGTGTGACAGCTTCCAACCGGTGGGACGGGTGGGTATCTCGGTGATTTGGGCCTGCGCGTAGCCCGCTATAGCTGAGGCCCTGCCTGGGCTTGGGCTGCGTTTATCTCTGTGGCCCTTCACCCTTGCCTTGTGCTCTCCTGTTCCCCCCGCGCCCGTTGTCTTCCCTCTCTCGCTCTCTCGGCAGTCGGCGACGCCTGGGCGACCGCCGCCGCCGCCGCCTTACGCCAGGTGCGCAGGTCTTCTTCGGGCCCTTCGCCGGCGACGAGCACCTCCAGGTACTCCACCCCTTCTCTTCCTTCCTGCTATGCGGAACCGAGCACCCAAACCCTAACTTAAACCTTTTTGTTTTCGGATCTGATCTAATGACAAATGTCTGTTCATGCATACTAACTTTTTTTTTTTGCCAAATTATCGGGTGTACACCCATGTCCTCCACTGCTTCTAGGCACGCTTCTGAATCCGGAGTTGCCAACATTCGCTTGAGGTGCCAAACCAGAGCACACCATCATGCAGGTTGGTATTCCCTGGATTATTTCTCTTGATTGGTTGCGCGCTGCTGATTCAGACAGGTAGTCGTTTGGTTTCTTCTGCAGTTAGGACACCTAAAACAACAGATTGTGATCTGTATTCTATATGATGTGGTCCTAGAAATTTTCATTTGGTTAAAAATGGAACTGTTCTTCCATGCTTTTCCTGTCCTGTTTTGAAATTATGAAACTCTTAGATAGAGGCCTGAAATACAATGAACTCAATCCTTTTTTGTCTGATAAATTTAGCGTAGGGTGGATTAGACGTGTGGTTCAGTGTTTGGTGGTAGAATCGCTATTCCTTTTTATCATAACCAAAGCATTAGCCACTAGGGCTTGTTCTACATGCTGCTGTTATTTATTGAGCTTATAGTAATGCTTTGGGATGTTAATTTTGTAATATATCCTTATTGGAGTGCGTATATTTTTTCCCCAATGAGTTTTGTGGAGGATTGTAGTTGTATGGGTCATTTCACATAACCCTGGTGTAATAGGGACCTGATATATCTTCAGTAGGAGCATGAATTTGTTGTTGAGTTAAATGCACCAGAGGTCCATTAACTTGTTAGGAGGTTTTAGTTAGGTCCATCAACTTTCAAAGTGTGTTTTCGGGTCCATAAACTTTGTATGTCGTATCACTTAGGTCCATATCCCTCCACATGGGCTTCTTATGCTGATGTGGCCTGCTGACTTGTCCATCTAAAGCAACTATTGACCCTTCATTTCGTCAAACACGTTGTGAGCGCGCAAGCAGGTGCCGCTGCAGCGGCCACATGGGCGTGCGAGCAGCCGACTGCCCGTGCTGGTGCAGTCACGCAGCCACGTTGGGGTTGGTCGAGCGGGCTGGCTGCCGCGCGAGGCCAGCCATGCCGCCGTCACATGAGTGTGGGCGTGGGTGGCCGCACCGCCTAGATTCTTCGTCGGCGCACTGCTCGACAGCATCATAGCACTCATGTTCTTCTCTGTCGGCCTAGCGCACTACATGGTGCTGTTGTGGTCGCGGTCGCTCATGTGGTCGACGGTCATGGCGCGCATGGCATGGAGACGCTCTCTGCGCAGCTCGGTTTGTGTCCATGGAGGAGCAAGCACCTCACCAACCTCTTCTGTAACTGTATGTACTGCTGTGGGTGCATGCTGCAGGCTCGTTCCAATTAGACGGTGCAGGAGTCGGCTTTGTCTTCGGTAGGAGCTGCAAGTGGAAGTGGAAGGTGCACGACGGGGTGGGGGAATGAGCTGCTGTAGGCCGGCTAGGGAGAGCGCAATGTTTTCAAGTCGTCTAGTCGAACCTAGTCGCCATGGGACCGACTAGGACGATTAATCACGATTAATCGATTAATTGGACGACTTGCACAAGTCGACGTTACCCCTAATCAGTCATTAATCGCGATTAATCGGACGACTTGAAAACATTGGGAGAGCGGCACGCGGCCAGCCTAGCCTGGGGGCGCAGCCAAGCCTCGAGCGCTCCGTACCTCGCCCGCGTGGCCGCGGCGGGCCTGTTCGCGCGCCCGCAGCAGCGGCGGCGGCACCTGCTCGTGCGCCCACAACATGTTTGACGAAATGAAGCGTCAATAGTTGCTTTAGATGGACAAGTCAGCAGGCCACGTCAGCATGAGAAGCCCACGTGGAGGGATATGGACCTAAGTGATACAACATACTAAGTTTATGGACCCAAAAAGCCACTTTGAAAGTTGATGGACCTAACTGAAACCTCCTCACAAGTTAATGGATCTCTGGTGCATTTAACTCTTTGTTGTTTATTTGTTAAAGTTCACTCACGTACACACTCTGCATTTTAGATATTGTAGTTCATTTCTCTGCCTGGCAGATTTTAAGAAGTGTGGTGGGTGTTACCTGGTCTTGTGGGGCTTCTGATGTTTTCTACTTCTACCCTTTTCTCTTTATGTTCACTTTGGCTCAACTGGATCTTAGTTTTCAGTGTTTGTTCAATAGCTAAGGTTTTCTGACATTTTGAGTACTATATTTCTAACACAATTTACCATTTGAAAGGCTAGCGATAGATTCAACATAAACTCTCAGCTTGAGCATCTTCAAGCCAAATATGTTGGTACAGGGCATGCTGATTTGTCCAGATTGTAAGTACCCTGTTATTTTTGTAACAAAAGAGGTTACAAAATTATAAGACATTACCACTTAATGTTTTCCTTATTTACAGTGAATGGGCTGTAAACATCCAGAGAGACAGCTATGCCTCTTATATTGGGCACTATCCAATGCTAGCATATTTTGCCATTGCTGAGAATGAATCGATCGGAAGAGAATGTTACAATTTCATGCAGGTATGTAAGACAACTTGCCCCCACTCTTCTAATAAGTTATAGCTCAAATTTATAGAACAATTCTAGAGCATAAATATTGTAGTAAAATTATGGCTAGTACAAGATGAGGGTTTCTGTACTTAGCATCATTGCTGGTTTTTTCATAGCCTGCCATGTGAGAGTATCTAAGTGCAGTTACTATGTTCCATTGGAAATGCCTAAGTGCCACCAGTTCTCTTAACAGTTCTTCTGGTTAAGGATTCTATAAATCTATACTGAAAAAAAAAAACAATGAGTCTGTCAGAAACAATATGATGCTACCCAAAAAATTAGGACCTTCCCTTCTCCCTGCAAGAAAGTGAGATGATTGGGTAGAAAGCAGAATTGATAGAATTGTCTACTGCTCTACTATTTTCTTTCCGTCCTTAGTACTACACACTAGGTAGCACTGCCTAGTAGACTATTATTATAAAGCTCTCTCTATCCAAAAATGTAAAATGTATTCTGTTTGGTGAGGACAAGGCTATGAGTAACAGTTACTCTATAATATGCCATTTATCTGATGCAAAATCATAAGCAAGTACTTTTGAATACAAATTTATCAATTCTGTGTCACAAACATTATGTAGTAAGAGTAATTCTTGGTCAAAGGCTTGTCCTAATGAAACAAAATGTGCCTTATATTTTTGGATGGTGGGAGTAATAACTTGGCCATCTACATATATTTCTGAAAGTGTGTAAACTGTATATTGAAATTCATATGCACTGTCTTTATAAAATAGAATTAAATTGCAGTCAGTTGTCTTTCCATATGCCAACCATTTATGCAGCTGGTGTATTTAGTAAATTGACAAACCTTACAATTTAATGGACATAGCTTATATTTATGTAAATGATGCATAATTAGTGGCAATCTTCTGTGCTAAGAAAACTTTGAACCACTTTTTTAAAGGGATTGGATGTGTACTTGATGCTTGTCAAAGAACCCTTAGTGAATAGAACAAGCATCTCTTGGTTAGATAGATCCTCTATTAGTTAAATAGTACATACAAGATACAATTGACTATATCCACAGAACTTGTTAATGATGCACTCAAATCAAATTATTTGGTTTTCTTAAGATAGCCAGGCAACTGCATATGCGTTTTAATATGCGCTGTAGCTAGGAAAGGTTCTAAATCAACTGCCCACACCCTACTAGGCGGTAGCAGTACCTATAATCGATCCTAACCAATTAAATCAACCGCTGAAGCCAGCTCCATCAGTAGTGATCATAAGCAGTGTATCCATTGAAGCAAATGGGTCCACAACCCTTCTGTACAATCTCATTGCAAGTGAATATGTATTGAGAAAATAAATAGAGGCACAGCTAATGTGGTTCAGCTAGGTGTGAAATCAACAGCGGCATGCAACACTGTATCTGAAAACAGAACTGGAGTATGCACGATGATAATGAACCGCACTTGGCATCTAACCTTCCATGAAATTCAGTGGATTTCTGTCCAATTTTTTTTTCAAGCCATAAGTTTTAGCGTGATCTGAATATTGTCATGGTTCGCAGTTCACGGGCTTCATTGTTCATGCCCCATACTTGTGCACCAGAAGATTATTGATATTTCTCCATATCCATAGTTCCCAGGCTTCGTATGCATATTTGACCATTTTCTAGCATACACTTACACTCATAAGATAGCACAATATAAATTTATTGATCGACTGTTTCTTTATACAGAAAATGCTGCTTCCTTGTGGCCTCCCTCCTGAGAGAGATGAAGATTGAGGGACTGGTGCATAGCTTCAGTGTTTCCAATGGTGTTTGCTTTTGAAGGACCATACTAAGATTAGCCACCATGGTACTATGTGCGACTTGTGTTAAATCTCGTATGCCTTTGACTTGTTTTCCATCGGTCTCTATTGTGATACATAAATATTTGGAACTTGTATGCATTCTATCAGTGTACTAGTGTTAACGAAATGCTGGTTCTGCCCCTTTGTCATGTTTTTGTGGTGCCTGCTATCAGCGTGAAAGAAAATTTTGTTGAAGTGATTGATGACTGAAGTGCCTATTGCAATTTGTTCAGCTGCAATCTGGCTACACGGGTATCCAGAATTTGGAGTGCTGCTCTTGCATAGAAAAGGCTGCCCATTAATTCTACACTGTAGAAATACTGTAGCATCTGTTTTTTTTTTTTGAGAGAAAAACACTGCTCTGGCTGGGAAAAAAAAGCTGGCCAGCCAGCCAATTGTGGCCAGCCGAACAAATTGGCAATTTGTTGCTTACGGTAGAAAGATCATGTAGAAGATAAATTGGCAATCTCTAGCTTACGGTAAAAGGATTCTGTAGATGATGGATGTTCATCATGGTGGCACGATAAGTTCTCTTGGCCACTTTATTATCAGTACCATTACGACTGATTTGATAACAGATATAACTACAAGCATCTGTAAAAAGGAGGCATATTTCTTCCCTAGTTCGAAAGTCACGGGCTTTCTCTGGTGGGCCTGCTAACAAATGACAATTAATTTTGCCTGCATACTTGGAACAGGCAGCACTATACTGCAAGGAAGGTAAAATGTATGCATGAACAAAGAGGAAATGGAATTAAGAAATCCCAGAGTGTACAACTGAATCTATGTTCATACAGACAACTAAATGATACGAACTCAGGCTAATATACAGGCTAATGGTAGACTGAACTATCGCAGATCATAGGAAACCTACATCAGCAGCCAGCAGCTAGCAAATCAGTCATCTCTCTATATGTCACCGCCTCGTTTCCATCCGCGGGCGCTGTGGTAGGCGTAGTTGTCCCGGCGGCTGTTCCTGAAGGCGCAGCAGGCGACGGAGTAAACGACGACGACGAAGGCGAGGATGACAACGTTAACAATGGCGGCCCGCTTCCAGTCCCGCTTGAGCGCGTCGACCACGCCGGCCTTGCACGACTGGCACCCGTAGCAGAGGTCGTCCTCGTCGTTGCCCCATGCGCCGCAGTCCAGGTCGACCGGCGCGGAGCCTGCCGCCGCCTTCGTCTTGGTCCACTCCGTGCCGCCGGCGTACGTGAAGTTGCAGCTCGCCGGCGGCTTGCAGCACCCGGACTCGACCGGGGACAGGCCGAGCCGCGCCAGACTCGTCGCGTTCGCGTCCTTGCTCTCCTCCACCTCCAGGCGCCTGCAGACGTGCGCGTCGGCGAGGCAGTTCCGAATCCGGGCCCAGGTCCTGCGGCCCTCAACGTGGCGCCGCAGCCAGGTGGAGTAGTCCCCGAGGCGGTACTCCCTGTACCCGGCGCCCGACACGGCCTCCCCGGCGCCGCCCTTGTTGGTGACGACGAAGGCGAAGACGGTGAGGCAGAGCAGCGCGACGATGAAGGCCAGCATGGCGAGGAGGTACAGCCAGAGCAGCCAGGTGGCGCGGCAGCAGGCGCCGGCGAGGCCCGCGAGGGAGACGGCCATGAGCGCCGCGCCCAGCGCGATGGCCGGGGTGGACAGGAAGTGGTCGCACTCGGTGCCGTCGGCGCGCGACCGCAGCCACACGCCCGTGACGATGATCGGGACCGAGAGCAGCAGCGTCACCAGGGTCAGCGCGCGGATCACGTTGTTGCTCATCCGGATCGCCATGGCGGTGGACTGCTGGTGGCTGGAGCTGGTGCGGTGTTGCCGTGCGGGGAAGGGGGTCTCGTGATCGTGGTCTGGGTGTGCGGGGCGGGGGCGTATTTGTAGGGTGTGGTGGTGCCGTAGAGGTGGCTGGCAGCTGATTTTGCCGCCGCACGGGTTTGCGAAAGTTCCTGGGGTTTACTCCTTCGTTGGGAACTGCGGAAACCGTGTGGTCCGTTTGCCGTTGCGGGGGCTACGACGAGTTGCACGGCGCAGGGGAAGCGCCGCGGCATTCGGCAAGGTCAGGGCCAAGGGGCACGCGCAATCCGGACGGCTGAGCCAACCAGTTCGTTGGAAGCAGGGACACTTGACCCTTCTCTGTGGCTGGGTGGCTGTTTAGTTTCTAAAATTTTGTAAAAAATTTTAAGATTCTTCGTCACATCGAATTTTTGGACGTATGTATGAAACATTAAATATAAATAAAAAATAAAACTAATTATACAGTTTAGACGAAATTCACGAGACGAATCTTTTAAGCCTAATTAGACTATGATTGAACACTAATTGCCAAATAACAACGAAAGTACTACAGTACCATTTCTAAAAAAAATCGCCAGCTGTGCCTTGTTTATATTGCAAGTTTTTTCACTCTCTCTCCATCACATCAAATCTTTAGACACATGCATGAAGTATTAAATATAGATAAAAAAATAACTAATTACACAGTTTGATTGTAAATTACGAGACGAATCTTTTGAGCCTAGTTAGACTATGATTGGACAATAATTATTAAATACAAACCAAAATGCTACAGTGCCAAATACTGATTCATATCCCCCAATCTGATCAAGGCCTTGCTTCGCTCGTTGCTCCACTGGCGTCCGCCCTGACTGCTTCTATCAACGCGACGTGACGTCGATGCACACCACAGCCCACAGGACGGTCCCTCATAAATTGGAGAACGATGTGCGGGTTGACTGTTCGTCACGCGTCACCGCTGGAGGCTGGAGGATGTCAGGTGGTCTCGGTCAGCGGACGGAGAGGCGAGAGAGCTTCAGAGGTAACCGTGGCCGTGTCAACTCTCAACTAGTCAAACTCTGCACTGCCGTGCATGCTTCCTCCTCTCTCCACAGCACAGGACAATCGCCTAGGTGCCGGTAGCTCGCTGTAACAGAATTTTACAACGGAAGAGACGACAGCGGCCGTGTGTACAGAGGCATGTTACATGGCCGATTTGGCGGACATTCAATGTGGACTGGATTTGTAGATCTGAAATTACATTGCATGGTTGACTTGTTATTGCCAATATTGCCAGCCCATTTGAAGTCAGAGTGGACTGAATCCTCAAAAGGATTATAGCGTGCTTCCATTTTTATTCCCCCCCCCCCCCATTATGTACAAGCAGTCAGGAGGGAGGATACGGTGGATGTCAGCTGATGCGTCAGGATTGTTGAATTACATGTTAATGTACCTGTCGCCCTCTACTACTGATGTATTGGGTCTACGTCATACAAGATACAACTATACAAGTGTTATTTTCCATTGGAATGGGACTTCAACTTCAACCTCTGGTTCAGGTGCCAGTGTCACCTTGAATGGGTCTGACATGCAAAAAAAAAAAAGTGAGGAAAAGATAGGCACGGCTTAGATCCACACAACTAAAATTTAGCAAGCTAAAATTTTAAAACTAATTTTTAGCCAGTTAAAAGTTTTTCTAACTAAACTTTAGCTGGATGTTTGGATCCTCCAGCTATAGACTTAACTAAACTTTAGCTAGGTTAAAACAGCTAAACTTTAGCTGGGTCGTTTGAATCCATAGCAACTAAATTTAGCCAATTAAAATTTAGTTGGTGATCCAAACAGACCATAAAAAGGAAGAACTAGTAAAAATAGCAACACCAAAAAGGACTATGAAGAGATCTTAATTTAACTTGCTTCACGAAAACAATTTGCCCCGGGTCCACCACGTTTTGACTTCTGAGGCGATCTGCAGCTTGCAATTTGCAAATGTTGACAGGCATGACGGCCGGTTTTGGTTTTAGCAGTCACTAACAAAAGGAACTAATGATTTTAGTTTGGCCCATGAATGCCCCCCAACCCCCCAAAAAAAAAGAAGAAAAAAACTGCAGACAGCGCTCCATGCTGGCAGGCCCAGTCACAAAACGGACAGGTTAAATGCTATAAAACTTAGAGAGTAAATAAAACTTAACAAAAATAGTTTAACTTTGTTTCAAAAAATAGTTTAATAATAGAAATACGTAATAAAATATTAGATAATATAATGTACATCGTATGGATGGCTAGCCGTTTGATATTGGTCAGTCACCTTAAAAATCCTCAGAAACCTAAATACTGGAGATACCCTATCCTCAAAGAAACTTTGGGTTCTTGATAATACAAAAGGAAGCATGAAAACTTAATTGGACTAGATAGATCATTATATACGCTAATATATAGGAAAACCTTTGAACAAAGAGAAATAAATAATAGTACGAAAAAATAATGGATAAAGTACATTTTTTATTCAACTATCGAAACCCTGAACTATGAAACTAGAGCAAGGAACGCCCTTCAAATGTTAAAAGCAGACAAAATTTCAACAGACAAATT